CCTATAGTACCCTTAAAGGGGACCCTGTTATAGTACCCTGTAGTACCCTTAAAGGGGACCCCATTATAGTACCCTGTAGTACCCATAAGGGGATCCTATTATTGTACCCTGTAGTACCCATAAAGGGGATCCTATTATGGTACCCTATAGTACCCTAAAAGGGGACCCTATTATAGTACCCTGTGGTACCCGTAAAGGGGACCGTACTATCGTACCCTGTAGTACCCTGAAGGGCAGGGTGCTGATATCTTCGTCGTTTCGTCCTGGGTCCCAAACTCTTCACCTCAAGGCCTGAACCCCCCCCCAAAAAAAAACTCTAGGCCTCTAGGCCTAGAGGGTATCTTCTTAACCCTAAACCCTAAACCCTAAACCCTAAACCCTGGCTGGTGAGCTTAGGACTGTCCGAGTCTTCGGTCCTCGGCGCGCTGAGAAGGGCTGCCACAGCCACGAATGCCGCTAGCGCCTTGGGCGGCACAGACGCGTTCGGTTTTCGGAGTTTACAGTAAGTCTTTTTGGGGGGGGCGCCGCTTTTCTATCGGCAACTAGCATTCAGAGCACCTGGGGTTTGGAGCTTAGGTCTCTGGCAGGATTTCGGACTCAGGGCAACGGTTCCCATGATTTTTTTGGTGGAAGAGAACAGTCCCTGTCGAGGCGTCCGGGTAGTCGTCGCACGGAGACCTCAGTCCTGACTTCGACCTCTGCTCCATGAAACCCCAACGTTCCTTAAGTTCAGGAGAAGCAAGGCTCTGAGGAATTTCGGGGGGCTCCCTCCCTCCCTCCCTAATTCAGGATAACCCCGCTCTGCTGCACCTGGCAGGACGACCGCAGCGCCTGTTAGGCTCTAGATTCGGGATTCAGTTTCATGGGTTTTTTGGGGTTTGGGTTTAGGGTTTAGGGCCAGCAACTGGCTTGCAGCATGGCTTAAAGATGAACCAATCTCACCATGCAGCACCTATCAAGGAGCCCATGCGGCACCCAACCGCAAAACTTGTTCAGGGTAACATCCCTATCAAGGGAAGGTTTCAAAAGCTTGACGCGTACATGGCTGCTCGGTTAATACAAGCATTCCCCGAGGACAACCTACCCGCTAAGACCTTCCATCCTCGTAGGGTTCGGGATCTTGCCTTTGCCACTACGATCTTGAGTAAACGGCTTTTGAGCAATCAAGCTTGAGGCATTCATACAGATGCATGCTGGGAAGGGCTTGAGACTTTAGCCTTGGCTGCTGTGATGACTGCTGTGGATTTGGAGTCTTGCGGCTCATAAAGCATCGTACCTTGAAGTTTCATGTCATCTGTGTCTTTGTCCTCTTCCTGCTCAGGACAGGCTGCTACTGCTGCACGGCAGTGATTAACATGCACATGTCTGGCTCGCGGCTGAAAGTCTCATATCTTCGCACTGCGCTACAGTATGATCGCTCCAACTGCGAGGTTTTAGGGTTTGGCGCATAGGGTGCAGGATCTGGGGTTTGATTTGGTATTCCTCTGCTAGTTGCATAATTCCATCTCAGTGCTAGGGCTTATGCATGAATCATCGAACCCAAAAGCCGGTGCAGTATGCTGTTGCAGTGTTGCTGTAGTTATATCTGTATCCTACTATCATCTGAGTATTGTCTGCGGTATTGACCTATGCAACCATGCCATCTCATTTCATGTTGATGTAATGTGATTAGTTTGTGCGAAGTCGTGAAGCTGCTCAGCACGTATTGAAAGCACTCCGAGGCAGATTTTTGGCAGGGAGGGGCAGGGGTGGACCTCGGGGCGGGCCCCACACCTTATATGTGGGGGCGACTTGCCAGTCATTTGCGTAGTGCGGGAAGGTCCTCCCGCCCTAACTGTTGCGAAACGACCAAATGAGGTACCGCACACGGTTTTCATCTGGTGCCCTCCCGCGAGATCCACAGCTTTCGTGATTCATATAGGACTACAGTATTGCTATCTTCGTTCGTCCATTGGTTTCCTATCACAGCCGTAAACGCTCAATCGCTGCTAAATCCCATCTCAAAACCAGCCTGAAAGCCAGGCGCTCGCGACGGCGGAGCCAATGCCAAACGCATGGCCTGGCAAAATAGCTTAAGGCTTGTGTGTTTGGGTTTCTTCGAGGTCCCCTTCAGACGGAAGTAACGAGGATCCTTTTCGCGAATTTTAGGAAACCCAAACCACGACAAGCAAAAAAGCTCCCTCACACCGAGGTTTTGGGCTTGTGTAAGGGGTTTGAGGATTCGGGGCCTAAGGCCTCTGCGTACTGTACGCTTACGCATCCTATACTCATATACCCATAGACCACATAACATATGTCCACATAACATATGTTACTTACTACATACTTCATCGCATGCATTTTCTAGGATGCAGTATACTGTATTATCGTTATATACTGCAATTAAGGAATCTACATTATATGCTACGAACTAGATATGATATACTACATACTATCTAGCTCATAAGCTCCCGGTTTAGGGACTTGGGGTGGCGGACTCCGTGTTTGAGGCTGCAAGATTCAAGTTCAAGAGTTGCAGGAGGTTCGGGGTTTGAGGTTTAGGTTCTTATTTTGAGGGTTTAGAGTTTGGGGCTTCGTCTTTTTATCACCTCTTTTCCTTCCGCCTGGACAAGTGTCTGGAATACCATGTTGGTGGAGGCACGTATGATCATGCAGGTGATTCTACCATCGGCTTCGGATTTTAGGGTTTAGGACTTGTGGTTCAGGGAGGTTCAGGGCTTGGCGTTTGGAGAAGCCCGGATCCGAAACGTCCCGTGAACCTTACTCTGACAGGGACAATTTCGGGGAAGCGTGTGCCTGCTGTCTTTGTGCCATGTAGCAACAGCGAAACGGAACAAATCGAGGACTGGAACTTCTTACGGTCAACGAGGGTCACAGCTCTGTCAGGTGTTTTGCTTCGGCGGAGGCTACAACTGCACGAAGATTTCCATCCAACCCCAACCGGCCGGGCAGGCACAGCGTAATGGAGACAAGGACACGATCCACGTCGGTGATGCTCAGGCCTCTTTGCTTGAAGGGTTTGAGCGCTTGTGGTAGCACTGCATTATTTGAAAACAATAAGGACTATCAGCACCAATCGTAGTAGTCGTCGTTGTACTTGTAGTAGTGGTAGTGATAGTGCAAGTGTCGTAGCGTTGTTGTGCTGAATGTAAAATTGGAGTGCTGTAGTGTTGTAGTGTTGTACTGCTGCAGTGTTGCAGTGCTGCAGTGTTGTAGTTCTGTAGGTTGGTCGTGTTGTCATGTTGACGTTTTGTGGATTTGTCGTGGTCGTGGTCATGGCAGTGGTAGTGGTGGTGGTGGGCGTGGTAGCAGCAGTAGTCTGGATTGGGTCACCATTGGAGGGTGAACTCGGCACCCGGCCCGACACCCATGATCCCTGTGCGCCAGAGAAGCTCGGAATCCTAAGCAGGAAATCCTCGAACCCTAAACCCTAAACCCTGCACAAAAAATCGAAATCAAGAAGCCCTGAGCAATCCGCCACAGAATCTGGGCCAGCCACGCTGCTGCGCTGCAGTGCCCATGGCCTGGGAGGACTTCGGGAGCTGTGTCATACCTAAGTAATCTCTACAGTCTACATATTTAAGCACATCCAGTGATATGTCATATACGAGAACATACTATCGTAAGTGCATACATGCATACGTGCATGCATGCATACCTTTGCGTATTCCTGCAATATAAACGGAAACATGTGGCAGATAGACAGATAGCTAGGCCAACCAAGCAGATGTCGAGGCGGGTTGAGATCTAGCTATCTGCGAGCAAGCTAAGTAACCAAGCATGAAGCCTTTCCAATTCAAGCCTGAACTCCCTAAACCATCAGACTCCCGATCCCTCCACCGCAAAACCTAATCCCCCAATCCCAATCCCGGAATCTTCACCCCCCAACCTCAAGCCGAAACGCCCTTCTGCAAACTCCCTGCGCGAAATCCGAGGCTGCAGCATCGATGGCCTCGCCGTTGGTGAGTGCTTTGGTGCTCGACCAATACCCCAACCTTGGGAGTTCCGGGATTCAAGGTTTAGGGTTTTTTTTACGGCTGCCATGCG